CTTTACTAGAAATTTTTTAATATATTCGACACAAAAAAAAATTGAGAAAAATTCACCATTGTATTTTTATTATTTTTTGAGTTTTGTTTAGGAAGTGCTTTATTATTTTTTGATATTTTTTAGGAAGAGTGCATCGATACGGTGGGGTGGGAGTTTAGTAGAATTGGGGATATGCAGGATTTTAATATTGAGCAAAATCTAGGTCTCTTATTTTGATGGATTTGAGAGATTTATAGGAGATTTACTTGAAGATTTATAAGAGGAGTTGAATAAAGTGGATCTTGTGATAAGATCTTTTGGGGTTGGATTCTAGTGCAGATTTTGTTTTTGGGTTAGATTCCCTTGCAAAAGCTGTTTTTGAAAATTGTTTTTGGGGTGGATTTCCTTGCACACCTTGAGAGATGATATATTTTATTTATTTTATTTTTATTATTTTATTTTTATTTTTATTTTCTCCCTGTATCAGTTGGTATCAGAGCCCTAAGATTCGTGCCCTAAGATCCATATGGAGAGCATTTAGATATGTGATCTAGTTATAGAATGTTCGAAGCGAAGTTCGTGCCCTAAGATCCATATGGAGAGCATTGAGATTCATGATCTAATTATGAAAGATGTTAGAAGTGAAGTTCGTGACATCAATTAGCTGTTTCAATGATTGGATCAAAGATTCGAGATACTCAAAAAAGGCCTAGTAGAACACTCAGCGATTCCACCGATTGAATCAAATATTTGAGAGAATCAAAGAAAACCTAGTAGAACACATTAACAAAGTAGTAGAGCAAGGTCTACATGATTTCTTTCATAGATTACAATCAGAACAAGATGAAGAAGAATATGAAGATGTGAGTTTCGATACAAAAGGCAATGCCGATGTACAAGAGATTTCGAATATCAATTGTAAAGAAAAATAAGAAATTTAGAAAGTGAAATATGAAGAAAAAAATATGAGTGATGCAGTATTCGAAATCCAATCAAGTTAGTGTGAAGGAGAAATCAAGATTGAGCCCGATCAAGCTCGAGGTCGAGCTACTCCCAACCCAGGGAGAATTACACACATAAAAATTGAGAAAAATTCAAATTGTAATTTTATTATTATTTTAGTTATTTTAGGAAGTGCGTATACATAAACTGGGGCGGGAGTTTAGCAGGATTGGGGATATGCACGATTTTAATATTGGGCAAACGGATCTAGGTCTCTTATTTTGATGGATTTGGGAGATTTACTTCGAGATTTATATGGGATTCACATATAAATAGATTTATGGGGATTGGGAAATTTTGGTGTGAAGATTTAGAATAATATAGAGGAGTGAGAAAGTAGGAAGGGGAGAGAGAAAATAGGGAGAGAGAGACATGGCTCCTTAGGTAAAGGAGAGAGAGAGGTAAGGGAAAGGTTGGTCCAAATTAGAGAGAGGTGTTTTTTTTTTATTTGTTTTGAAATCTATAAAAAGGGAAGAAGTCTTTCATTGTAAATGGAGAAGAGAATGATTAAAGAATGAGAATTGAATAAAGTGGATTTTGTCATAAGATCTTTTGGAGTTGATTCCTCTGCAAACTTTGTTTTTGGGGTGGTTTCTATTACATAAGTTGTTTTTGGGATAGATTCCCTTGTGAACCTTGAGTGAGGAAGTGGTTTTTGGAGTGGATTCCCTTGTAGACCTTGAAAGATCATATATTCTCTTTAACGATTTTTTTTATTTTATTTTTATTGTTCTAGTTTTATTTTCTTTCTGCAACAATATTCCTATGAAGTGTTTACTAAAATGATTATTACATATCATTTTCTAAATTTATTGGACAACCACGGTTGTCGGGTGGTCAAACTTGTGCCCGATGTAAATTTAATTTCATACATTTTTGACTACCAAACAATAAAAAATATCAGTTCCTTTAAAATTCTAAATTATGCTTTTGATGGTCAAACATACACTTAAAAATTAAAATCACATACCAAGAAAACAAGTAATTCAAAAATTATGGAATGCCATCTGCCTCTTTATTCAAATTTTTAGAAATCAAAAAATAAAAATTCTATTTTGCCAAACATAGCCTTACTTGTGGATTCGAACTGTGGCGATCTGATCCAAAAAAAAGCATAGTTAGCAAGTCAGGGAATAATAATATATCGGCAAGCTAAAACATCGGTAATGAATCGGTTTTGTTGCCAAAACATTGGTAATGAATTGGTTTTGTTTTAAAAAGTCAATGGAAAAAATCGGGTAAAAAATACAGGTCACCAAAAAAATGAGGTAAGTTATAAAATCATGAATGGATTTGTCTCAAAAAAACGGAGTGAAAAAATCGGATATGTAAAGATGACATAATATAGGATTATGATACACAATTATTGTATAGATACATTAAAGCCATTGAATAATAATTTTATGACCTTACTTAGTGTCATTAGATTGATACTTGACAATTTATTATCTAAATTTTCAATAAGTCCAACAATAGTGCTTACTCTGTTGTCACAACACAATACATATCACATATTTGGAGCATAAAATGAAATGTAAATAATACTTAACACAAGAACTACATTAGTAGATACCAGAACTATACTTACCCAAAAAAACGATACCAGAACTGTAAACTAAGATATAGGATTATTGTTTGAAAAAAAAAAAAAACACAAAAAGACACTCAGTATAGGATTACAATTAACTAAAACGAAATACATACCCAAATACGGAAAATAGTAGTCCATCCAAAATGCTATTTTATATACACCAATAAAATAAAATAAAAAATTAATAAAGCTTCTCTATATACAAAGAAAGCAACAAAATATTTAAGTAAATTTGAATTTCACGTTGAATTCTTAGCTGCTTAAATCTTTAGTATACAAAATCTTTAAGAAATTTCGAATCTCACACAAAATCCTCTTTATAAGGATGCATTGGGTTTAAAGAAAAAAAAAAGAAAATATTTTTCATTGGGTTAGTCTTCTAACTCTGCCTATTATTTTGAGTTATACGATTGTTTTGATATCTTATTTTTTGGGGAATATATTATTTGTAATTTTTTGTAAAATTTTTTTAGGGAAATTATTGGTGAAACGTTTTATGAAATTTTACTTTAAATTAAGATTCTTAATTTACTCCTACTAATAATTTGCTTATCTTTAAATTGGAATTAAATAATATTTAAGTTAATAAAAGTTATAGACAAGAAGTTTTTATAAAAGTTTTTTTTAAAAAAAAGATAAAATATGGGTTTACATCGGTTCCATAAAAAAAATGCAATTTTTTGAATCTCTTTTGAAAAACCAGAAGTTCTAAATGGATTTAAAAAAATTCCAGATTTTTTGAAAAAATCGTATTTTTATATGGAGCTATGGAAAAAAAATGTAAATTTTAGGAAAATTATTGCTAATATACTTGTATTTTACTATAATTGAAAAAAAAAACCCTCAATTTTTCAAAACCTCACATACACCATTTCTCACAATTTTTGGCTTTTTTTGGACCAAAATAACATTCACGGTTGTCTTTTTACCGTAAAGAGCATTGCGATAATTTAAATACTGTAATAAGTTGAAGGAGTATTATAATAATTAAAATACCGTAATATCGTAAAGTACTATTAGTGTAATTTAATTACCGTAATAACATTATGGTAATTCAAATACCGTAATAAGTTGAAGGAGTATTACTATAATTAAAATACCGTAATACCTTAAATTAGTATTATGTAATTTAATTACCGTAATATTGCCCACGCCTCATTAAAAGAATACAAAAGGTTTTTTACTCTCTCATGAGTGTACTATTTATTTACTCCCTCGACAAAAATCCATGCTAGCTGTGTTTTTCAAATCTCATGTTTTTAGGATATAATCTCTATTACTTATAGAATAATTTCAGCAAATGAAATTTTCCAAGTAAATTCTTCTGTAAATTAGAAAAACCTAACACTTCAAGATTGAATAGAAACTATCCAATTTTCAAAGAGATCGATTTAAGTGTCACATAACTCACAATTCAATTCTTTAAAAAATAATTTAGTAATTTTTATATGGTTCTCAAAATTTTAGAACAAAAATATTATTAAATAGGTATTTTGAGCGAGGGAGTACATCCACATCGTGCTCCCATAAGACCATAGAATTTTTGAAAAATACAAAAAAAGACCACGAAGGGAAATATAACCCTGATATTAGCTTCGATTTGAAGCTTTTTAAGCATTAGGGGATTGGATTTAACCGAAAAAATATTAGAGTGATAAGAATACGGTAAATACTTACCCAGATTACGGTAATTAATAATTCAAAGTTTACCGTATTTAAATTAGTGTAAGACTCGTTTAAATTTTTAGGATGTTTTAATTGCCGTAAAAGTTCGGAAATTTTTTTCCGTTACTCGGTCCTCTCACTCTTTTCAGGACTAGGGTTAGTTGTTTGTTTTCCAAGTTCCCTCTCTCCATCTCACTCACTCTCTCTCTCTCTCTCTCTCTCTCTCTAC